TTCCCAAAGCCTCCCTCGTTTCCCCCTCCCATTCTTCCGCCCTCGTTAAGACTCTCTCAACTTTCTCTTCCCCCCCTCCTTATCCTTGCCAGTCGGAAAAAAATCCAGCGTTTTTGTAAAGCAGACGTAGGAGAGGAGGGAAGGGTCTTGCGGCCCGTCATAATGGCGTTTATTTATTTATATGGGATAGTAGTAACTTTCTTTTCTTCCTGGGGCTCACAGGGTTTCTCCAGGGTTATCCCCACAATGACCCCATGGAGGAGGTTGGGGCCCCATCGCTCAGTGAGCCTCCATCTGGATCTCCTTGATCCACTTCAACTGCTCCGCCACAATGGCCTTCATCATCATCATCATCATCATCACCACCACCACCACCACCCTGCCTTTCTTTCCAAGGAGCACACGTTCCTATGCGCCCCTCCCTGGCCCTTCCTCATTTCAGCTTCAGATGTGGCCAAACACGCTGGCTGCGAATGGTCGACTTGCAGTACAGGGATTCTGAAACACAACAACAGTGAACCTCATGGGGAACCCTGGGAGGCGGGCTAGGGGTGAGATTTAGATTCTGGATCTTCCCACAGACTGAAACTCCTAATAGGATACCAGGGAGATTTAACGTAAAGGCTGTGTTTGCACAAAGCAGAGGAAATTCTGTTACTGCTTGCAGAGAAGAACATAGTTCTGGCCTGGAGAAGGAGGTGGCAGAGGTAGAATAGATCCTCAGTCTTGGAAAACGTAAGAAGGGGGCTCAGAACAGCCCCACTTGGACTTGCCGTCCTTCAAAAGGGGGTGGTGACGACTTGAACAGGCTTTCAAGATTCTCTTATCATGCCCTACAACAATAATGTTCCTGTGGCGGCTATTTCTTGATCTCCAAGGGCTGAAATCCTGTTAATGTTAACCTCGGTTGATTTTTTCCTTCCCCGTTGGGGTTTAAAGTTGCGCAGCAGCCCCCACCAGTTTGAAGGGCTGATGTCTGTATGAATCCCCAGAGAGCAAACTGGTGAAAGACGTTGGTGAAAACAGTGATCCACTATAACAAAGTAACCGAGGACGCCTCGCCTCGTGCCCTGGAGGGGCTGTAAATGCAGGATGCACGAGAGAGTCACAACGCTTCTGATTCTGCCGTGAGCTGAGTGGGGTCAAGGAGGTCTACGACTCTCCATGCAGATCCGCTGGAGAGTGAATCCCATGGGATGAAGTCATTTTCTCCCAAGGAAACATGCTTGCCAGTCCATTTTCTTTGAGAACAAGGAGAAGATAGGAGGAAGCTTGAATTTGGACGTCCTACTGAATCGCCATTCAGCCAAGCACATTTAATCTTCTTGTGCAATCCTGGCTCTTCTGAGGCTGTAGTTTGGAGCGTGATGTGCAAATAAGTTTAGTAGACTATTTCATGAGCCCACAAACTCCATTAAGTGCAGACAAATGGTTTCTCCCCCACCTCTTTAAATGGGGGAAAGTGAATCTGCCCTACTTTATTTCTTGATTACTCTTCCTAAGAGGTGTTGAGGCTTTAGGAACCATGCAGTGGCCATGTTTGCAACAATATTATAAAATCATGAAACAAGGTAACAATATCAGAATGATTTAATGACTAGAAAAATCATCTAAAAAGAGAGATTTTCAAAAGGTGCCAAAATAATGAGACGGGAAATTATATTCCCACTTTTCCATTCACGTGAACTGGAAATTAGGTTATTGAAAATGTTTTCTGAATGCTACAAAGTGATCCACGTACAGTAATTTGTTGCAGTCCTTAGGACTCCCTGCCAGGTATTCTTAGCCCCAGAAGCATCCACTGGGAGTCAAAAAAGTCAAGATGGTGGCTGCATGACCACCTCCCCCCCACTTCCTGCTGATGGCTCTGCTCAGCCCTGTCTTGTCAGGGGGAATGCTGAAGCCAAGTGAAAGATAGTTCCTTAAGTTTACCTCTGGTTCTAGCCAAGGTAAAAATGAAATCAGGTCTTTCCTCTTAGCTGCAATTCTCTACCAGCCTGGAAACATAAAGATCAAGAAACTCCAATGAAATGCAGATTTGAGGAGATCTCCTTTTAGTTACAGTTAATTAGAATTAAAATGACACGACGTGACTTAACGTCTGATCACTTCCAGCAGATGACATAATTTATTCCAGATCCTTTAAAAGTTACACGTCGGTGTCAACTTCTGGAGGCTTCTGAGAATCAAATCCAAGGCTTCTAGGATCCGGCTGCATCTGTATGGGCCTCTCCGTCTTCCATCTGAAGAAAATTGCTCTGTTCCCACCCAACCAATGACTTTGTCGCCGCTTCTAACACCGTGACAGCAAGGCTGAAAAACTTCTGTGATTCAACCTTGCCGTTCGTTATTCCTGCACGTGTAAAATGAAGCTCCTCTTGGAAATTTCTTGATTTCAAGAAAAGGAAAGAGAGGATTTTTTTGTTTTTGTTTTAAGCAGCGGCAGAGGGACTGTTCAAAAGGAATTGTGTTGGGTGTCTTTTACTGCCTGTGCAATAAATGTCTGGCTCAGAAGCTCATAAAAATCCAGTGGGCCCAGAAACTTGGTGGTCCATCTGTTGATGGGATGGAAGCTTTGATTGCGAGCGGAGAAGGGTTTGTCCCAAACCAGAGAAACAAAATGTTAGAAGTCCAGATCTTGGGGGCCTAAAGAACTGAAAGTAACCCCCTCCCATCCAAACAACAGGGGGATAAGGTGAAAATTCCCTGAAGAGCGAGACTGAGCAGTATTGCAATTCTATTATCTAGGGGGGGAAATGCAGATTGCATTTGGAAGAAAACAACATGGAGGAAGTCTCCGGTTAATTTGATTGGGTGTAGAGATGGGCAAGATTCCACTGGATCAATACTTTCCACTCCTGATCTCTGGGTCGGGGCAAAACAACCAGGTTTTCTATCTAACCATTCCTTGCTATGCCCATTCGGCCTGGGGAATTCAGGTCTGAAATGTGTGGACAGCACGCCACCCAGAAGTTCCAGCCAAGGCAGCTGGACAGAAGCCTCAGGAGAAGACCTTAAGGTGGAAGCAAGTGTATACAAAGATAGAGAGTCCATGGAAATCCCAAACTTCCCGTATATGATTTGGTCCAAAGCGCTCAACGGTAATGCTGTTTGATACAGAGTTAGCACGTTGTGTGAATTCAACCACTGCAGTTTGGGAACTTGAGGGGCTTTTATGCAAAGGAAGGTCAGTAGATGTAGCAAAATTCATGAACCTAGATACTGTGTATGTCCTGGGTCACACAGCAGCATTAAACCCCTTGTGTGAAAGGGGTTGGAAACCATAGCTGAAGGCTTAGTGTGTTGTATGTGAACCCAGACTTCTGTGGCTTGTACTAAAAATGCAGCTAAACAGATCATAGTTTAGCACAGTGTATGAACCAGATTCTGAGTCTGTGTGTACGTGCAGTGTGATTAATTTCTTTATTTTTGAATGGAGTTGATTACATTCCTGGGCATTCGTAGGTGTCTTAGCTAGACACACATACATTTATATCTCTATTTATGCACTCAAAACAGCACAGATTGTTAAAAAGAGCCTAGACCTCCTTTCTGTGATTCAGCATAAAGCAACCCTGTCTGGAAGTGGATTAATAAAGAATTTCTATTCTCCCTGAAACAAAGCTTGTTTTTCTTAGAATTTGTATGCACTGTGGATCTTTCTATGATCAACTCAGTTGGGGGTCAGGGAAAAAAAAAGATTCATAGAGGGGGGAAATTCATTCATAGAGGGGGGAGACTCACCCTCCCTTTCTGAACAGGATTCAGATGATGCTTGGCTAAAATTTCCTGTACGTCCATCGTGCTGCTATCACCATCAAAAATAGTTTTAAAAAAAAATCTAAAAGCTGTCATGTAATTTGAGTGTTTTCCTTCTTTCTCAAAATAGGGCACCTCCTTGTTCCACTTTGTCTTCATCTTTGCTGGGGGTGGGGAGGAAGAAATGAAATATAAAACAGTCACACACAAACTTCAGAGGTTCCCCTTGTAGAAATCCTGCCTTTTAATTGATCTGACCTCTCTTGATCTGAAAGCGAAGGGTTTTCAGTCCACTTTGGATGATTTCCTCCCCCCCTTTTTTTAAAGAAAAGGGTGGGGGGAGAAAAACAGTCAGTTGCTTGAATTAGCTTCCATTTCAATATTATTGCCTTAAAGAAGAGGGCTGGGCGAAAAAGACCTAATCATTAGAATATGATGATGGAAAGGAAAGGAAAGGAAAGGAAAGGAAAGGAAAGGAAAGGAAAGGAAAGGAAAG